ATTTTCTACCATTGATAAAAAATATTAAGGCAAGGGTAACTACTTTATCAAAACAAACAAGCAAACAAACAAACAAACCAAGAAGGAAAGTAAAAATTAAAGAAAAAAACAAAAAAAACACAAGAAAACTAACACTTCTTAAAGTCATAACGAGGCAATTACAATCTAAAGGCCTTTACCTGTGCAGTTTCGTCCATCTCCATTAAATCCAAATACACACAAAGGATCCATTTGTGTTTTGACAAGTAGCGTTCAGGTGACAATCGTGAGTATTTTTTTGGCATTCATCGATGTCTAAAGAAAAGGTGGGAAAGAAAAGAAAAATTCTACACGAGTGAGATAAATATTGTTTTTTTTTTAACTCTTATGAGGTGAAAAAGCATATATTTGGTAATCATTGTGACAAATTAATTGTTAGACTGAACCAAAACTTCCACTGCAGCGGAATCTCTCCGGATCGTTAAAGATTCGCCTTGGTAGCCTTCCTTGGCAGACTTTTTTCGTGGATTATGAAACCTATAATTAAATTCTTCAAAAAAGTCTACTTCTCTTCTCAGTAAAGGCCTATTGTATTTATATGATAAACAAAATAATACATGGTTGCTTGCAGTTATGAGATAGCGAGTTGAACACTCGAAGAGAAACTCCAAATCAACACGATCCCATGTATTATTCTCTATGTATTGAATGAGGACAAAATGGCCGAGTTTCTTAGTGATAGATTATCTAATTGTCTTGTAACGCGGCTGAATGGTGCGGCACTGTAGTTGAACGTGTCATGCAGGACTATTCTAAATATTGTAACGACGAGATTAATTTCACCTGCGCAGTTTTGTCCATTTCCAGTATATCCAGCGTGACATTGACATACATGTGATCCAAGGATGTTCTTGCATGTAGCATTCACGTGACAAGAGTTATTTCCTTTACACTCGTCAATATCTGTAAAATCATAAACATAAAAAAAAGAATTGTAATTGGGAAAAAGTTGCCGAGCAAATCTTAGTCTTTTTGTCTTGTGGTTCTAGACTGAAGCACTTCACATAACCACTCACAAGAGTTTTTCTCGGTTCCCCTAAGTTCAAATGTATTATTATCACCATCGTCTTCAGGCCTACATTCATCTCTTTTTTTATACAAGGTATGCTGGTAAAACAAGTCTTGCAAAGATGATAGCGTTTTTCGTTCCAATGGGAATGGTTACGATAGAAACGCATTAAGTACCTGTGCAGTCCCGTCCATTACCAGTATATCCGGGGTGACAACTACAAACATACGATCCTTTGGTGTTCGTGCAGGTAGCATTCACGTGACAAGAGTGATTTCCTTTACACTCGTCAATATCTGAGAAACCATAAATAGATTTTGCACTTTATCATTTTTATGACTCACAGTCGTCTAATTCCTTTAATCATTACAAATTATGAAACAAATGTTTCCCTTCTTGTGCTACATGAATTAGATATTGCGAAATTATATTTCAGCACAAATATTTTAATTAGGAAGCTGGCGGCTCTGAAACAAGCCAGAGTGTAGATCATGGTAACTCTGTGCATAAACATGCATGGCTAACGCTGTTTAAAACTATGAGACGATTAAAAAATGTTAGTTTTAGTGGGAAATATCAATAAGGTCATCTTCAAAATTACCTGAACATGAGCGTCCATCGCCGATGTATCCCACTTTACATGTGCATTTGTAAGAACCATATGTGTTAGTACAGTTTGCATTCGCGTCGCAGTCACTGATGTTAAATTTACATTCATCCATATCTAAAATGTTGAAAGAGAAGTAGTGAGTAAGTTGGAGCAACTTGAGAGAGGCATCCACACTAGAACTGATCTAAACCAAATATTACGATAATGATATTAATAATGGTATAATTAATGATAATTTCATGAAACTGATAACTCGTTACATAGTAAAATATCTCAAGCGAAGTTATAGGACCTACCTTCGTTAACCATATCACAGTAAATCAGTTTTGCCTTTCCTTTCCCAGTTGGATCCAGCCAGTACTTGCCGCTAATGGTGTGTTTACCTTCACTCGCCTTTATTTCGTGACAAGACAGCGCCGTTGATTCAGGGATAGAACCTAGGGGAGCTGCAGTAAAGATATGTTTTACGCTCGGCTCCTATTCTTAGTTCTTCTACGTGCGAAGGAACCAGGCTGAGGATGGATAAGATTTAAAAGAAAAAGAAATCACATAGATAGAGAGACATTTGATTTCTTACCTCTGCCGTTCAATCGCCGAATGTAAAACCAAGCGGGTGCTGAAAGGAAATTCTCTGGTTTCGCCTCCTTGGTGCGGTTATTAAGTTCACATATTTGGTATTTTGGATTGTAGTTATAGCTTTGGCACGAAATCTCTAGTCCACATTTGACATCGCAGCGGTGAGGAGCCGCCAGTGACCATCTTTTGAAGACAGAACGCTTGAGAGCCATTCCTTGTATACTAACTTCGGTCCTGCATTGATCATTACCTGTGACAAACTCCATGGAAGCAGCGAAAAGGACGAATCTTAAATGGCGGAACAGCCCCCACATACTTCTTTGCTTGTGCTGAATCTGAAAATATTGAAAATGGGTTCATGAAAAGAAAAATCAGAGTTTTCTCTCAACAAAACTTATTTGGAACCAGATGAAGCCATAAAGCAATCATATTACACGCGCAATAAAACCTTGCCTGAAAATTCGTCAAACTACTTCCTAATTCATGAGTTAACGATTTGCACAATACTGGATATGATGCCAATCGTCAAGGAGGATCAGCGCAACTCTGAATAGTACGCTTTAATTTTGAAGGCTCCCTCAGCTTTTGTGGAATGATAACTTTGATCTGCTATGGCATTTTGAAATGTCCTCTTGATAGGCTACCCCCACAGAAGAACGAAATCTCCATCCCCATTTTAGTTCCAAATGTGAAGTAACAACGACTCGACCTCGACAAAGACTTCAGAGTTAATAATATAGTCTAGTTATTGGGTGAGAAAAATACAGTCTTTAACAAGTTGGCTAATCAACATTTACAAGCTGCTGATTATCTTCATTTTTTATGAAATAAAAATCCTGAAGATTGTTTAAACCCTCTATTTATCTACAAGTTCAAAAGGGCAAGAAAGGTGAAAATATAAATCTTCCAATCTTTATCCGATGACCAATCCTTTCTAGGTTGTTATTGAAAAATTCAACATTTTGGACGGGGTTGAAACTTTCGCGATCCTTTGGTAATTTTTTAGATAAACAGAGCAACATATTGTTTACCAGAGCTTTTGTGTTGCGTAGATATAATCATGCAAAAGTTACTTAGTAAACCCTGAGTATTGATAATCTGCTTTCGTTGGAAAGACCTTGAGTTATTTTGCTTTTTAATTGGACCATAACCTTGTTTGAGAGTGAAGCCAACCGTTTTCTTTTAGTATTCAGGATTAAAGGAGCCGCGGGTTATTATCCGAATTCAAATTCAGATTTTTCCTACTTGAGTTTACGCGATCACCTTTGGTCAATTAGACGGATTATCATAGAAAGAGAAAATTTATGCTAATTTCCATTGCAATTAAACATCGTTGTTTTGGCATCACGCAGGAGATTCACACATGCGTTCAAGATTTTTCTACCAATAAATTCAGTATACATTAGAAAATTCGACGTTTTGCAAGAAATAATAAATTCAAATAAAAATAGTCAAAACTATCTTTCTCAAACCAAGGCCAAGATGCTAGATGCCAGATGCCACCTGTTTTTGAGGTGAATGCCTTTAAACTAATCCTTAAGTGTGTTTTGCTCATAACTTTCCCGTAGACTACTGCAGAATACCCGAGTTTTACTTTTGATACATAAACTATGTTTATGGACGAATATGCAACAAGAAAAATATAACCATTCTTTATCATATGTTAGCACTGTTCTCTTGTAAAAATAATTCTGAGATGATCAAGAGTGTTAAAAATGAGCTTCCTTAGGATGCAGAAAGATCAAATTCTCGCCTGATAAACCACAGGTAAATTAACAGAACATTAGTGTCACGTTTAAATGTTATTGAGAGAGAAGAGATGGGAATGGAACAATTTCAATGAAATAATTCGTATTTACCAAAGGTTGTGGTCGTTTTGCATCCAATCTTCAACTTTCTGAATAAGAAACGATAAAAAATTTTCGTCAAATACCCTCTAATTTTTCAAAAGTGAGTTCCAATCATGGGTGGATGTTGAATGCCGCTTTTTGACTTAGTGTTTGCAAATTGTTGTAACCTTAACTCTTTTTGTATCAGGAAAAAGAGAATAAAGGAGTTATATAATTAACATTGTACAAATAGGTGAATCGAAGGATAAAAAATGCTTCGCCGTCTGCGACTCACCTTTTCCAAAAGTCAAGTTAGTCAATAATGCATTGCAGGTTACGAACATAAAAACTGGAACAAACTAGATTTCCGCTTCAAGGTAACGGTTTTCTGTTGCTACCACGCACGTATGGCACAAGTCTTAAATTGATCACCAGCTCCCAGCAGGGGATTAAGCTTCCAAAATCGACTGGTTTTTATGAAGGAAACCGTATTATGAAAATAAATTTTAAAATAGCTAGCAGCTGTCAGTTTTCTGTGGAAATTAATGCAAATGAGGCAAATGTATGTTATCCGCTTCACTCGATGGAGAGAATTGGGTCATATGTATCAGACTCCGAAATTAGTCCTTAGAACAACATTGTAAAAATTTGGATTAATTTCTTTAGAAGGTCTAATTGACGGCGGCTATCTTTAAAAGATAGAACGGGGGAATGGGGGAACGGGAGAGCGAGAGAGCGGGAGAGCGGGAGAACGGGAGAGCGGGAGAACGGGAGAGCGGGAGAACGGGGGAACGGTAGAACGGGGGAACGGGAGAACGGGAGAACGGGGGAACGGGAGAACGGGAGAACGGGAGAACGGGGGGACGGGAGAACGGGAGAACGGGAGAACGGGAGAACGGGAGAACAGGAGTGGGGAATGGAATGAGGAATCGTTAAAAGCGGAAATCTTTAAAAATGTAGAATTTTTAAAAGCAGGAATCTTCAAAAAGAGGAATCCTTAAAAGCGGAAATCTTTAAAATGTAAAATCTTTAAAAGTAGGAATCTTTAAAACGGTAAACCTTTAAAAACAGGAATCTTTAAAAGCGGGAATCCTTAAAGCGGGAATCTTTAAAACGAGGAATCTTTAAAACGAGGAATCTTTAAAACGGGGAATCTTTAAAATGGCGAATTTTAAAAGCGGGCATCATTAAATGCGACAATCTTTAAAACGGGAAAGTCTTTGAAATGGAGAATCTGCTACATGAGGAATCTTTAAAAGCGAGATTCTTTAAAATGAGGTTTATTAAATAGGTTTTGTGAAGAGTCTAAAACTCGGTCGAAATATTCATAAATTAACTGAAATCACCTTTATTCGCGATTTGAAATTTGACCAATCTAGATATCAAATAATTAAATATCTTTGATACCTCTACTTTTAACCCGTGCACTTGAAATCGGGCCTAAAAAAAAGGCTTTCATAGAGAATCGAAACAAATGAATTTACAAGTATTCCAACATCAACTCATAGGTATTTAACCAACCTCAGTCAAGATTCCCGCTTTTAAAGATTCCCAGTTTTAAAGATTCTCGCTTTCAAAGATTCCCGCTTTTCAAGATTCCTATTTTAAAGATTCCTCATTTCCCAGTTCCCTTTCTCATATTTCCTTTTCCCTCATTTCCCGTTTCTGATTTTAAAGGTGGCCACGGAAAACCTCAGGAAAAACAGATACTTGGACGTTAAGTTCTCTTGAATTTTTCTCTTTAAAATTTTAAATTCAATTGACAGAAAAGTCATGTTCCCGTTTCAAGTCTGCTTAAATTTGTCATTTTTTTGGAGTTAAAATACACAGACGTGTTATTCTCATTAAACTTCGCTCCTAAAATCGTTTGAAAGAATTGGTAATCAACCCTGATACAAAGCTCTTTAGCGTGTGGATATCTCCCTTAATTAGGTGTTCTTAAACTGCTCAAAAATTCATTCGCTTGGAATCTGACCATATTTACTTTCATATCTAAGTGGTTTGAGTTACATGATCCAGCTTTAGGTGATTCCTAACGTTAGTGATGCTTGATTCACATGTCCTCACATGTTCTCGAGGTTCCAAAGTCTTTAAGAAAATGACAGTTAGGCCTTCTTTTGGTATATACATTCTTCTAATTGCGGATTAAGCTTCGAGGTAAACAAGGATATTTATGACGATGACGGCAAATTTAATAATTGATTAGGTCTAATTACTACTACTCCTACTCCAACCATTATTTTCTTCCAGATGTTTCTTAGTGTTTAATCATAAAGTACAATAGATGGCCGCACGTAGATAATTTCTCTTCTTTTTCATTGCACTCACTCGTGAGTGTTGAACACGAGACTGGAAATTCCATATCTACAAGCAACCATCTATTTTTTGGTTTTTTATATAAACACCATATGCATTTACTGACAATTAAAAAAAAATCCAACAAACAACCTTGGATTGAGAAAAGTAAACGCTTTGCCACCCATTCGTCAACCTGACAGAGTGGTGCGAAAGGCGAGGGACTGGGAAGCAGCTGATTACCGAAAAATTTTTCGTAATTTTACGCTCGCGCAGTTACGGCTTTTCTCAGGGCTAGAAATGCTTGAAAGAGCACACTCTTCGCACCAAAAAAAATTTTTAACATCCATCTTCAAAAACACAGAAAAAGAGGAAAATTCCATGTTGGCCTCGAGACTACGGTCTTCTGTTTCTACCCCACACGTATGCCACAAGTTTTAGGTCGATCACCAGCTCCCAGCTGTGGACTAAGCAGCCCAAACCGACCTATAGTTATGAAGGAAAGCGTGCTATGAAAAAACATGGAACAAAGCAAATGGAGATTCACGCAAATGACGCAAATAGTTGTTTTCCGCTTTGCCCAATAAAAAGGAATTAGGTCTCTTAGGAATATCATTCCGTATTCTTAGGATAACAGACACCTAAACGTTCAAGTTCTATTAGAAGTTTTGATCTAAATACTTTCAAAATTTAAGAGATCAAAAAATGCATCAACCGCATTTTTCAATCATTCCTACCAAAAGATGACGAGTCAATGGCAGACGCATCCTCCCTCGGTGTAATCATATTTAAGAATGCCATGATAACCTGTCCTCCTATGCTTTTATCATCCTTCTTTAGAAAAAAAAGTGACTTTATCAAGGATTTTCTCACTTGCAGTTTAATTTTTCTAAGCATTTAAAATGTCTTACCGGTCGTCAACTAAAAGGAAAAAGAAAGTACCGGTGTAATTTTAGTCCCGAAGATTCGACAACGACTTAACCGAGAGGTACATGAATTAGCAGGTAATTTAGAGTTAACAACTGGGTTGAAAACGTAAATAAGCCACCATAAAGGGTAAAAAAGCTGACGTTTCGAGCGTCAGCCTTTCGTCAGAGCGACTAGAGGAATTGTGGGTTGTGTGTGGATTTATATGTAGAAAG